GGAGGACAACACTGACGTTATAACCAGGTTAAAGCCAACATCCCCCAATAGTTGTCAATGGTATTGGTGGGAATATAAATCACACTCTGTTGCGCAATGAGCCTACCTAGCCTCATCTAGCCTCTAAAACCCCAAATCCCCTGGTATAATCCTTTGTATGACCTCTATAGAGCCAAGTCTATGTAACCCCCATATAACCCTCAATGTCCATGAAGAAAGTCACTGCAATGGCTTCGGTTTGCCTGTCTGCGCACGTGTTGCAACTGGGCCTTTGTCAAGATTATGTCGTAGTTTAGCAAAATTAGCTCGGGTAGGGTTACCTGCGGATTTTACGGAGTTGATAAAGGGTTGTATGGTCTCATACATGGGATTATTTAGGGCTTGGGGACATTACCTCAATACTCATGAATGAAATGGAAAAGCACATGGAAGCTGGGATTTTATTTATGGGTCTTAGGTATGGGGCTTAGGTGGAAAGTACCATGTTTTTTGGGGAGAATCTGTAGCAGAGATAGAGTTTAGGGTTTTGGGTTCAGGGTTGGCCATACTTGAGTGTATTGAACGTTTGACTTTCTGAAATTGGAGTTGGAGCTTTATGTGCGAAATCCTTGTGATTTCGAACTCTTGGATGGGGCTGCATGTAGTCTTCTGTAAGAATCATAATTTCCATTTTCTTTTCCTTTATTATCCGTATCGAATCCCTATATAATGCCAATATATCATGATATATCCCTAGATGACCACTGTAAAATAATCACTTTCAGGGACCCTCAACCCTGAACCCCTTAAGACCAAACCCTAAACGCTAAACCCTAAGCCCTAAACGCTAAACCCTAAACCCCTTAAGACCCTAATCCCTACACAACCTGACTCGCAGGGTCCCTGTTCACCGCCTTTTTCAGGAACTTTAAGTCGCATGTGTTCATTTCCTTGGTTGGTTTAAGGGTGAGGGGTTTGGGATGACATAGGGTTATATATAATGGAAAAGAAAATGGAAACTACTGTTTGGGGTGTAACGCTTAGGGTTTAGGGCTTAGGGTGGTTCATAAACGTGCTCCGGCTGCTTCTGGAAACGTTGAGTGAATAGATAATCCTCTACGTCTAACTTGAAACCCTAAATCCTGACCGTTAAAGCCTGAGAGTCCCGGATGCAAGATTTCGGACTAATTTCAATTTAAGTTTTTCGAGTTTAGGGTATAGTATCTTGTAAAAGGAATATAATCTTACTAGGACAGCTTATCACCTTTTTTGCCAGAGTATACTTTAGCTCTTGCAGGCACGTGTCAGCTTCGTGTTTTTTAAAGCCTGCCGGTAAGTTTTAAAGGCGGAACGTTTTTCCCTCAGGTACATACATATGTACTTAGTAGGGTCCATGAATTGGGGGACCCACGTAGAGGCCTCCGAATACCATAATGCTCATCATAGGGACCCCCAAAAGAAACCCCCAAGTTTGGGTAACCCTGTAGGACTCTCTACAGAACTCTACAATGAATCACAGTTTCCACTTGAATTTCCATTTTCTTTGCAGTTTGATGTTAGATTTTCCCAAATTCCTATATAACCCCGATATTACCCTAAAGCCAAAACCCTTCTAATATTCAGTTTACATATGTACATGTATATTGCGAGTATATCTCAGTCTTCTTGGGTCCTCAGAAGTTGTGGGGTTCAGGTCCTGAGGCCGATTATCTTGGGGTAGGTCAAATACTTATCCAAGTGAGCTATAGTCTAAAGTCCTTAAACGGGGTTATATAGGGGATTAAATAGGGGACTACTATAAGGGATATTAAGGGGGATACTAGGAGTTTAGACAGTAGCTCTTGGATGCTGCCCCCACACAGTAACAGTTGGATATAAATTTTAATATGGTCATATACAGACCTTAATCGGACCCCTAACATAGACTGTTACTGGGTGGGGGCAGTACCCAAAGTAGTTCATATGTCCAACCATAAGCCCTAAACCCTAAACCCTAAACCCTAAACCCTCAGTATTGCTTCCATGGTTTTAATCGCCGACCTTGGCTCTCAGGCCCCTTACACAACCATAGGCCTTGTTTAGGTGGACCCCCCACCC